TCGCCACCTTCTCCTTGGGTTTCCCCTCTCCCTCCTGCCCTTGGGCTCCCTCAGAGCGCTGACTGCCATTGCAGTGCTGTTGGCCGGGGAAGGTGGCTGAAGCTTATCTGCCAAAAGCCCTGCTAACCAGGGCTCTCATGTTCTCTCCCTCAATCCCAGATCTTGCCCTGTTTGTGCCACAAGCCTGACTTTTCCTCTCTTGGACTCCAGCCCCATCTTGCTGCCCCTCAGCATCCCTCACCCTTAGCACATGTCTCCTGAACTCTGTCCCTGTGCAGGTGCGGTGATGGAGGCCAAGTCTGCCCGTGACCAGAGCCCACGTGTGGCAGACCTCTTCATAGCTGCATTGGCTGCTGCCTGCAGCATCCCCCTGGAGAGGAATGGCTGTCGGGAAGCGAAGCAGCAGGTCAGGCCAGCTCTCTGCATGGTGAGGTGTGTTCCCCACCAGGACAGCAGCCCTTTGCAGGAGGGTCTCTTTTTCAGCAGTAGAGTGGAGGGCTGGTGTCCTCCAGCTTTGGTGGCTGCAGGGCTGGTGTTTGCAGGCTGCGCCTTCCCAGCCAACAGCTGAGCTTCAGGAGTCTAAGGACTCCTAAGTCAGTTAAGAGACTTACGCTTAGCCCATCCCACAGTTCAGATCCTGAGTAAAGGGCTAGGCAATGCAGAGAAAACATGAAGAATTCTTACATGACATTGCTATGAAGTGTAGGAATTCTGAAACTGAATGGACAATAAATAAGAGGGAAAATGAAACTACAGATTTACATTTGATCCTTTAACTCGACTCTGAGTCAACAGGGAGGGAAGCAGAGGAGGAATCTCACTTTGCTCATCCCAGCTCTGGGACTGTGCATCAAAGCTGTGCTGGGTCACAGTAGATGGGCATCCCTATGTAAATGCAGGCAACATGCAGGAAGCAGATGCCTTCTTTTATTAACTTGTTGCTAGCATTAAACTCCTTAAGTCTATGCAATGCTTCAGGTGCTCAGGGTGCAAAACAGGCTGATTTCTGCAGGTCGCTCTGGAGGTAGCTGAAAAGCTTATGGAGGGAGAGAGCCAGCAGCTTGGGAGGCTGTTGGGGAGACTGGAGCACCCAAGCTGCTCCTTGAACGTGCTCAAGGTAATGGCCCCATCCTTTTATCTGGCTGTCCCCAGAGGTGCCTAGACCTTTGGTCTGGGGTTTGGAGCATGGGGAAGGGGGAACTGTGGGCTCAGCGCTCAACGACTCCCATCTCCCTGGTGTCAGTTGTTGAATAAACGGGGTGTGACTAGGGTGGGCCTGGTCACTGTGTCCCTGTCCAGAGGGGCTGGTATGCATCTCTCCTCTCTGTCTCGCAGATCCTCTACGCTGGCTGCCATGCCAGCCGGCAGCCCCTTCCCGGTGCCTCCCACCCCCCCCAAAGCCTGTGCCAGCACCTGGGAAGGAGCCAGCGACTGTGGGGCTCCCTCATGCAGCTCTCAAAGGGCGAGGTAGGACAGACCGCAGCCCCGGTGCTGGGGTAGGAGTGTGGGCAAGCAGGACACATTCCCCTGAGTGCTGCTTAGACCAGGCTGTGGGACGTGTGGGGAGAGGAGTTTGGGGGAGCTTAGTTTGGAGAGTGCAGGTCTCCTCCAGGGCCCAGAAACATTCCCTCCCAGCCTTGCTGTCTCCCTGTGACTCCTGCTCCCTTGGCAGGTCCCCGTGGCGGAGGTGGCCCAGGGCACAGCCTGCGAGGCCTCCCTTGACCTGCTGGCCCTGCTCACCCTGCAGCTCCAGACCTCCCCTCCCAGGTAAGTACCTGCTTTCATGGGTGGCAGAGGAACACGTCCTGCCCTGAACAGTTCTCTGCCTCGCCCTGCCGAGAGCTGGGCTGTGCTCCCACTGAGTCCCCAGATCCAGACAGACCAGCAGAGTGCTGGGCAGTGTTGGGGGTGCTGGGGATGCGGTGAGGACCCAGCGTGGACAAGGAACCAGTGTCCACTCCTCCTGCAAGGTGGCTGCTTCCCAGCTCTGGGGATATTTGGATGCTGCTGCTCTGTGGGATGTGAAGCTGTGGGAACACAGTGCCTCTCTCCTGGTCCCTGTTTCAGGCTTGAGGAGATGGTTACACTGGCCATGGATCTCATCACCCAGTCTCCTGTTGTCTCCCTTGTGGTAAGTCTGCCCACCCTGCCAGAGCCAGCACTGAGAGCCCTGAAGAGCCCCACATCCCGTTTGGGCCTTGCTGTTGCTTGCTCAGGGTGGGATGGGGGCAGGCGCAGCCTGGCTGTCCCTGCCCTCGGCCGAGGGACACAGGCTCAGCACGGAGCAGGCAGGTGGGCAAGTCCCAAAGGTGCTGAGCTCTCCCCGTCCTGCAGGGTGCTGCAGCGTTCCTCCTGGCACAGCTCAGTCAGCACAGGGTGGCCTTGGAGCTCAGGGGAGAAGAGATCCTACCGGTGGTGACAAACGTGCTGACAGCCCCTGCTGAGGTACGGGATGGGGACAGAGGAGCAGGGGAGCCATGCTGTCCTCCCACCGTGGAGGTGTGCAGTCAAAGACGGGGTCAGAAGGGTGCAGGTGAGGTGCTGCTGCCCTCAGACCCAGCACCCAGCTCCAGCCTGTCCCCTGCTCCCCTGACAGCTGCATCTCCCCCCGCCAATGGGTGCTGGTCTCTACGACGGGATCTTGCTGAAGCTCCTTGCCCAGGTACCAGCCGCCCCGGCCCCTGCCGAAAGGTGTGGGGGCAGAAAGGCCTGAATGTGGGTTGGGGATGGAGGCTGAGGCAAACCAGGGAACAGGCAGCTTTGCCTGAGCTGTGCAGCCCTGTGAAAGTCACCTGATGTCCCTGGGTTGTCTGTGGAGCTCTGGAGGGTTGGTGGGAGGGTAGTGGGCAGGGATGGGTGATTCGTGGGTACATCAGTGAAAGAGGACAGAGTTGTTCATGGACTGGCACTGTCAGCAGGTACAGCAGGGCTGCCAGCTGCCTGTCCCCCCTCTCCCCCTCCTGGGCCACGTTTGTCCAGCCCTGACCTCCCCAGGACCATGGGGCTGGCAGGGACGCAGACCAGAACCCCGGGGAGCTCTGGGGGCCAGGATGCCCCCCCCCAACAAATGTCTCCCCATCTTTAGGAGGACGTGGCCATGGAGCAGGGCTTTTCTGCCTCGGAGCTGTGGAGTGTGGTGTGGCATTGTGTTGCTGCGGTGCTTCGCGTGGGCAGTGACAGGGCAGTGCCAGAGGCAGATCCCCCAGGGGCCGGTCACCCCATGGCAGAGCTGGACTGGAACCTCCTCTCCCCTCAAGGTAGGAGCTGCAGGACAGCAGGGCGTCTGCCTGGGACCCTGCTCTGCATCCTGTCCTCAGACCTGCCCACGCCTGTCCGCGTCAGCACCTGGTTCCTGAGGCCAGAGGGGCTCAGGGGGCTTCTCTTGAGGGTTGCCATTGTGTTCCGGGGAGAGAGGGTGGCCTGGCCCATGCTGTGCCCAGGTGGCAAGAGCTCAGCTGAGCTGGCTGTGTAGGAACAAGAAAAAGGTGTCTGTGCCGCAGGGGAATATTCGCTCTGGCAGACGTGACCACCGCGGGTGGAGATTGGTCTGGTCTCAGGCAGTGAAGCCCAGAAGCAACCCTGGAGCAGCCTTGAGGCAGTACAGGCAGACAGAAGAGAGGAGACTTTGCAGCCTTCCCTAGCTTTGCCTCTCTGCTGTGCTGTTCCCCCTGCAGGCACCCTGCTCTTCCTCAGCCTGGCCCTCTTCGTCTTCACTCGCGAGCCCCACTGGTGCCTGCCTCAGCTCACCCAGTCCCACGGCGTCCTCGTGGTGACGCTGAAGAGGCTGCTGTCCCCTGGCTTCCTGGCCTGCCTGGCACAGACGTGAGTTGGGAGGGCTGAAGCCAGCAGAGCTCAGCTGCTGAATGGGGCTTGGACATGAGCAGAGGGACGAGAAGTTCCTGACCTGGCACTTGCAAGGCACAGCTCACCTGCAGAGCCTCTCCTTAGAGCCTGGCATGGGGAATGCTCTCTGCCTCTTCCCCTGATGTTTTTCTGATCACCTCTGTGTTAAGCTCTCTCTCTCTCTCTCTCTCTCACAAATTCAGACAAGCAGGAGAGGATGGGGACCCTGAGCTTGTCCCAGCTGTGGTGATCCAGGCCTGCCAGCTCCTCTGTTTCCCTTTTGCCCTGGATGTGGACGGAGACACCTTAGCACTGGTCGTGGAGGCTGTGAGAGATGCCCAGATCCCTGCCCAGCTGCTGCAGGTACCCTCTTGGCCCTGTTTCTCTTCCACCCCCGTACTGCAGAGAGACCTCCCCACATCGCAGCCCCTGATGCATGGCACCACTTCACACCATGCTGGCAGTTTCTGTCCACGCAGGGATGTCACCTGGGTGCCGTGCAGCCCTCGGGGTGGCTTGGCCGGCAGCTGAGCTTTGCACTGACCTGCTGGCAGCCTTCAGCTGCTGCTTGGCTTGGCCCACACGTGAGGACAGCACACTCAGCACCGCTCTCTCTCCTTTCTCCTTAGGTCTGCTCTCACCATCTGCCCTCCTCGTACATCGAGCTCCCCATGAGCCTCTTGTGCCACCTCGTTGTGTCTGATGAGCAGGTCATCGACCAAATGGTGGGGGCAGCAGCTGCCTCAGAGCACATCGTTGCCTTCTTGACGTCTGCCTTGTTTTCAGACAGCCTCACGCTCACTGCTGATCTCCTGTCTCTCTTGACCCACGTGGCTCGAGCCTGTCCGGAGCACCTGCCCTTTCTCCAGAGGATCCTGAGGAGCTCGGACATGGCCGACCAGCCGCTGACCCGCCTGCTCGGCCACCCACAACACCTGATGCGAACCAAAA